TCCCTACATATCCCTGGCCTCTTCTCCACCATTACTGCACTGCATGACAGGTGAAATGAGCACCTGATCACTGATTTGGAAGAAACGTCTTGATTTTGGCAAGCACAGCCCGGCACCCTCTCCCTCCTCTTCCTTTCTCCTCAGAGGCATGCTTGTGGTCTGCACCCCAATATCAGAAACTGGAGAGAGGTAACAAACCCAGAGACTTGTTTCTTTCTAGGGCTGCCTCTGGTGGAGGAGGAAACACAATAATCCTGAGCTTTCATACTGTTAAACTCAGAGTGTTGTGTGTGTGTGTGTGTGTGTGTGTGTTTGGAGGAGGAACAGGGGAATAATCAGAGTGACATGCTAGACCATATCATCCAAACTATGGTATTAGTGATAAAGGCTGCACTTTGACCCTCACTACTTAAGCCTACTTTGTCTTAAGCCCCAGGTGGGAACGGACAGAACTGTTACTGTTCCTCCTTGTCAGACTCCAGGGACTCGCCTGCGCCCACACAAAGAAGAGGCTCTTTGCTGTGATGTATGAATTGCCGAGAAGAACCTGGGTGAAAATGTGTCATGGCCTGTGCCATGTTCACAGCCATGTGAATTTTTTTTTTATTAATTCCAAGGGATATAGAAAATGTAAGATGAGGGTCTGATTCGGACCATCGGAGTGTCTAAGTCCAGACATTCAAATTACATGTGGTGAGAGGAGAATTTTACTGCATCTGGAACTTTTTAATATTACAACCATACCAGTCTCATTTAAAACAATAAATACAGTGACATGCTCCAGATAAGATGCTTTTATCTGGAAAGGGCGGCATTATACGGAACAGAAACAAAAGTGACGTGCCACCCTGATCGAGTCACATAGCTTCTTTGACTCTCAGTTTCTTTGTGTGTAAATTGGGGCCTGTCATAGAGATAAAATGAGTTAATGCAGGTGTGGACACCCTTGGCACCCACCAAGCCCTGTTTACCAGCTGGTATTCTCAACAACCGAGAGCATTGGCTATATAGGCCACTGCTGTCACCTTCCCTGGAAAACTGTCCTTACATGACTGGGAGCTTCCTCATGGGGAGATGATGATCACTGCCCCACTGATTAGGGGTACAAAGGGAAGTCCCCCTTACATCAAGGTAGAACCAACCATGTGCTGCAATTCATGCTCTCCACTGGATGAGGTTTAAGTTAGTCTACAGTTGAGATGACATCATTACATAGTTTTTGTGCCATCTTTTCCTATTCCCATCACTCCCTTCTCCCGTGAGCACTCATCAGTAAATCGCTTACAAAACCCTCATTTCAGGCTCTGTGCTAGAGACCTTTGATAACATGAAGAAGATGAGAACTTCTCATGGAAGGTAAACTATAGGAGTTAGATACCTTTATCACTGAAATGACTATTTGTAGGTTTAGTGTCCGTTTCTAACTCTGAGCCAGGCTTGGTCGATAGTTCAGTTAATAGCATCCGACATGTGGAACCATGACCAAATTGAACATATGATCATCACTTACCTCAATGGGTCCTACTTGCAAGTCAATAGGGATCTGCTGCTCCCTGATTTCCTTCAGGGTAGCCATGGCAATCCGAATGTCATCTAGGTCTTTGATCTGACGATTCAGTTTCTTACTGAATTCTTCAACAAGTGTAAAAATGTTTTCCATCTCACTTCTGTACTTTTTGTGACAGTGGCGGCCAATGACAACCATCCAGGCCTTTGTCTCAGCACTCAAAGCAAACTTCAAGTCAGCTGCAAAACCCGAATGTCCACAGTTCAGTTTGCAGCCCTTGAACCTTGGAAAGACTCAGTGCTTCTAGTCACTACTGGTAATTACTTGGTAGCTTACAGCCACTTAACACATATGAAAAATAAAACTTAAAAAGCAAACATACTAATAAATGTTTTTCTTTTTTTTCTTTTTTTTTCTTTTTTTTTTTTTCAGAGGTTTTTGCTATAGGGCACATGCGCTCGCCAGACAGACAGACAGAGAGAGACAGAAAGCAAGAAATCACCCCCCAGGGGGGATGACCACGCTGCAATCCCTTCTCCTCCATTCTCCTCTCGGGATCTTGGGCACGCACACACACACGCCCAGCGTGAGTTTAAGCCACCGGGTCCGGGACTCGAATCACGGTCAACTACATGGGAGTCCAGCAACATAGCCATTACGCCAACTGCTGGTCCCTGATAAGTGTTTTTGTAATTATATTTGTTCATTTTACAAGGCTTGTTTTTACAATTTAAAACACACTTCAAAATTCATTTCAAAATGCTAAAAAAAGGATATATCAACATCCTCTTAACTATGCCTCACATTTTTATTATTTTTTTATTAAAGAAATGGTCATTTTTAATTGCAAATACAACAAAATCATCCCCTTTCTCTGAATTAGTCTTTATTTTCAAGATTTAGTAGCAAAGTGTTCAAAATAATCCAGAATAAATAATTATCCAGAAGGAAATTAAAAACAAATCTACAAATGGGTCTTAAAGCTTGAGACCCATAAAAGAAAAGGCAATCTTTAAGATAGCTAGAACTCACTAGAATACTAATCTAGGCAATGAGACAGAATAATGCTGTTGAATTTATATGACTGTCTGAAAGAAAATGAACCAACCTGTGTACAGAGCAATGGAACCCACACAGATATATTCAGGTTCAGCATTAATTTCCTGCTGTAGGTTTTGGAAGTAAAGAATCTGGGATTCAAATTCAGAAAGTAAGGGGTTTTTCATGATAAATGTCATAATAGTTTCTTCTTTCTCTTTTTGCCAAATGTGATTGTAGCATTTGAAGCAATCCATGGATGTAATAACTTCCTAAAACACGAATAACAGATATGTGCTGAAAAGCAAGAGTCTGAAATAGCATCATGATATAAATATTTGCCAACTGTTGGTGGCTCCCACAGCTTTATTAAAATGTTTAATTGGAGAGCTGTGTGATTAATTAGAAATGCCACAGAATTGGGACTACATACAATAATATGGACAGTTTCACTGTTATCATCTCTAGTCAAAAAGGAGAGGTGTGGTTTCTAAAAACTAAACCAGAGACCATGAAGATCATTGTGGACCCGACTTTCTTGAGTAAAGTTTGACCTTAGGTCAAAAAACACAGTTTAAGGTCATGCCACATGGAAAGTGCTATGGGAACAAATACCTGGGGTCACTTCCCCAACCCTGATCTGCAAGACTCCTTTCTGGCTGAACCTACTGGAAATCTCAATAGAAAACAATCGACACATCGCCTGAGGTTCTGCAGTCAGGTGGAGAAGGACGGAGATTAGACATGGGGAGGGGGAAAACAGAGCACATCACACCCGATCCACTGGGAGGTTACAAGGAATGGCATCATGTCTACATCTCTGACATAATTATTGATGTCTCTATAATACTACATCTTCTGAGCCAGAAACATAGTGGACATTTCTATATCTCCCAATCTTTACCCAAAAATCCTTAATTTTTAGAGTATTACTCATAGACACCCACTCACTTCTTTTTTATCTTCTTCTTTATATATATATATATATTAGGGTTTTTTGCCATAGGGAACATGCAGTCACTTGAGACGAAGAGACAGAGAAAGGGGAAGTGAGAAATTACTCCCTGGGGGGAAATGGTCATGTGACAATTTCTTTTCCTCCTTTCTCCTCTCTGTATTTTGGGTACACATACATGTGCCCAGTGTGATTTTCAAGCCATCAGAACTGGGATTCAAACTGGGATTCAACCATGAGAACCACCGTACCACCTGCTGGTCTCACTCACTTCTTTTTAATTCATGTCTCTGGATATTTTTCTTCTCCTTTTAAAATGTTCTAGAAGGTATGTACATTTGCCAGAGTGAGACAGAGAATAAGAGAGAGGGAGAGAAAGTGATAGCATACCCCCTCCTAGAGAATGCTCATACCACAATCCCTTCTCCCTCTTTTCAGGATTTTGGGCACACACAGACACATGACTAGAGCGCTTCTCAAAACACCATGTCTGAGACTCAAACTGCACACAGTCAGTCATATGGGGTGGAGCTTATATAGCCACCAGGCCATAGGCTGGCGTCTGAGGTATTTTACAATGATGCTTTCATTGTAAGCGAGATCTCTTCCCAGTATTTTAAGAATTGGCTGTAAATTTAGAAACTCAGCTTTTTAAATAAACAGTTCAGCTTGCTACCAAGTGTGCTTCTATAAGATGAAATAGCTCATTTGCAGTAGTTGGTAGATAGGGTAGGTAGTTGTATTGATGTAATGTAGAGGTCACATTATTAAATGCTATTTTTCCCAGCCAAACAAATGTTACTGTCTTATACAAACTAAACCGCCAAGGAACATGGTTCTGCGTTCCATGCCCCCTTCAACACTTTTATTGTGAAATTTGTTCACCATTTGTCTTAAGAATGTTCTTTGTGGGACCAGCAGGTGGCATGGTGGTTAGAGAACAGGTTTACTTTCTCCCTCTCTCTCTCTCTCTCTCTCTCTCTCTCTGAATGCATGTGCCCTATAAAAAATTTTAAAATAAATAATTTTTAAAAGAGGGTTCTTTGCACAGAATGACCTGATCTTTGTGTGTTTTATGCTTGTTGCCATACTTCAGCACACTCAACTGTTGTTACAACACCTTCCACCAACTTCCTTTCACCTCTTTGTAGGGAAGCTCTGTAATGACCTGAGTGTTATTAGGCAAGTGAATATTAAGCAGAGGTCCTTCCATGATCCTGACTGACTGGAAGGTTGAAGGAGGGTTTGCAGAGTGGCAAGACCTTATTGGGGTGTGTGTGTGTGTGTGTGTGTGTGTGTGTGTGTGTGTGTATGTGTCTCT